TTTTGTTTTGTTATTTCTTCTATAACATTTATCTTTGATTTGGTATATTAAGACAATGGACAGTTACTTATTAAAAGAGAAGATAAAAAGAGAAGTAGATTGTTAACAAAATAATATAACTCTACAAAGTTCTTTTCTTGCTCAATTACAATATATCAAAAAAAAAGTTAAATTATTAAAAGAACAAAAGAAGCATAATATACATAAAAAGAGATAACTCGAATGAGATTTATAATATTCATATTTTTGGTGTTTTATTTATAATAATTATTAAACGATGTCAATGTAATTATATTAATATATTCAAACATATATAATGTAATGAAAATTATGATAATTAAAACTAAATAAAAAGGTTAAGCTAATTTATAAAAATTACTTAACAAAGAGAAAATGAATTTAATAACATAGTATTGTATTATAAGCATTTATTCATTAAATATTTTTATAATATCATAAATACAAATAAATAAAATATTAAAATATTAAAGAAGAAATATTAATAATTATTTGAAAAGTAATTTCATTTATTTTAAAAAACAAAACAAAAAAAAAATAGTTTTTTTAACAATTGTTTAATGTTTTAAGAACCATTTGATACCATTCATCGCACTCTCTTGAAAATTTAAATGTAAGAGTTATTTCACAACTTTTTCCTGTTTGGTCTTTTGTTGTAATTGTAATTTTATTGTCATTAGGAATTAGAATAGTAGATTTATCAATAATATATTTCCATTTAACACTCAATATTTTCTTTTTCTTTTTAATACCAATTATTTGTATAATACCATTATCTTGTCCTACAACAATAACTTGTAAAGTTTCTGGTTTTTTTTCTACTTTTACACATAATTGAATATCAGATAATACAACTCCAATAACATCAAATCCTTCTACTTCTTTTTGTAATTTCTTTATTTTAGCTAATCCTTGTTGTATTTGTCTTTTTTCATCAAAAAATGCAATTAAATAAACAATGTCACTATATGCTTTAACTATATTATCATGTTCAACACAACAATCAGGTGTATTATGAACAAATGCATCAATAATAGGAATAAATCTTCTAAACCTATCCATTGGAAGAAGAATTAATTTTTCAATAATTAATCCTTCTTTATCAAACTCTTTCAATTTTTTTGATGTGTCTGATTGTTCTCTTAATGTTCTAACTTTATCCATTTCAATATTAATCCAATACCTTTCATATTCTTTCATAAATTCACTATTATTTAACATTTTACTTATAACACCACAAACATCAACATCATAATTCTGATTATTATCAACAAGTACTTTTAAATCAATTTCTAATTGTTCATGAAATTTTGCTAATCGTTCAAATGATGGAAAAATACTTGCAAATTCTTTATTAATTTTAATTAATTGAGGAATAACCACTGTAATAATTTTATTCATTGATTTATTAAAAGATACTTGACTTTCATATAATTCATTTAAACAAACTCCTCTATTTTTGGATTGAGCATTTAATTGAGATACAAAAGTTAATTGTTCTTTATTTCCTTCTGCTGAAATTAATTCAATAGATGGCATCTTCATTCTATTTAAACTTAATCTATCACATAATAATTTACTTTCTTCATTATGTCCTTTTTCGTTTTGTTCTTTCTTATTTCTTGGTGATATTATTTTATCACTTTCTTCTTTCTGATTATCTTTTGTATTAGTTGCTGTATCATCACTAACTTGTGAAGGTGTAACCTGAATAGAATTACTTTCATTTTGTTTTACTTCTTCTGACCTTTTTAATACTCTAGGAGTTATTACAGTTGATGGTTCTGGAGGAATACTTTCTCCATAATGTTCTGCTAATTCCTCAACTTGGAACCCTTTCATAATTATAGCGTTTCTCTTCTTTCTTTGAGCTAATGTTTTTCTTGGTACTCTCATTGTTTTGTGTTGTTCATTACGTTCATTTTGATTTTCTTGGTTAGAGTTTGTAGAAGAATTTAGAGTAAAATCTTCTGGTTGAGAAGTATTAGTTGAAGAAAGATGAGCTGTTTCATATTGAGATAATCTCTTTTTAGTAATGTCCATAGCCTTTTCCATATTCTTAAGTTCTTCTTCTTGTTTTGCAGTCTCTAAAGTAATTTGAGTTGGTTCTAAAATAGGTTGGTTTTGTTTAAAATAAGCAAATTGAGTAAGAATTTTAGTCTTTATATCATTAGCAATTCCTTGTAAAGAAATTAATTTTAAAAGAATTTCCACGTTATAAATATTTAATTCATTCATTAAATGTTCATCTGAAGTACAATCCATTAAAGTAGATAATAATAATATTTGCATACGATCATTTAATTCATTAAAATTAGATAATAAATCAGAAAGAACTAATGTAAATCCAACTTCTCTGAATCTTGTCAATGCAGTTTTATTTTGAGCAAGCAAAGAAGTTATTTCAAGTGCATCTTTTAAAGAGTCTATAGTATTAGGTTCTTCTGGTGGAAATTTAAGACAGTCAATAAGAGTCAAAGTATTTGGAGATGCTGCAATTGCATTTACAACAATTTTACTCTTTGCCATAATTTCTAATGCTTTTAAACATTCTCCAACAGCTTCACTATTTAATTCTATCAATAACGAAGCAATAATATTTGCTTTAAGAAGAATCAGATTAAAGGTGTTACAAGTATGTTCTTCTTCATTTGTTAGTAATGTATTAATAAGAGAACACCCTGAAATAATACCATCATTTCCACCAGTAATAAGATCAGCAATTCTTTCAGCACCATTTTCACGTAAAAATATTGATTTAGCATTTGGAATTCTTAAAATATGGATAAGGCATTGATATACAGACATTTGAACTGGATCATAAGTTTGTAAATGTCTGTTTAATGCTGGAATAAGAATGATAAACTGTGAAATATTAGAAGAATTTATTGAGTGTCTTCTAGGAGTTCTTGGTAAAGCATTATCCAATTTCTCTGCAACAGAAATAAATCCATTAATGACATGAAGAGCAGCAATAACAGTTTCTTCATTTGAAATTAAAGGATTTAATCTATTTGCAAGTTCATTGTCATGTCGTATTACGTGTTCAGAAATTTCATTTTCTTCACTTAATAAAATAAGAAAGTTAAGAGTTGCATTGACTATATCAATCTCACTTGATAATAAACAATCAGTATATAAAGATGGTTTAACTTTCTTTAAGAAATTTTTAAATCCAACATTTTCCAATGCATCTGACATAATTTCAAAACCTTGTTCTGCTTGTTCAGTACTTCCACGAAGATAACAATGTAATTTATTTAATAACTGAACTTCTTTAGGTTGAAGTTCTTCAAGGCAAAAGTTTTGTAATTCATTCATTGTTTAATTTACCTTTTTTTAAAGTTTTGTTTCATTCAGATAAAGTAATAAATTTCATATAGTTTTGTTATAATTTTCATTATAACAAAAAACAAAAACAAAAATTTATTTTTCTTGGGATAATAAAATGTTTGAAACTATCAAAAAGAACTTTATTTCCTTATTAATAAAAAAGAAAACACTAATTGAATTTATTATAAAATTAATTAAATAAATACAAAAGACTCTTTAAATCTTTAACAGAATATTGGTCAAAATTTAATTCTACATCCCATTGAGTTTGATTAACCTTTAAAGAATTAAATATTTGTTTAAGAGTATTTTGACTTGCACGTTGAAATGCTTTTAAAATTAATTGAATAAGTTCTTCACGTGTTTCTTTTCTTTTTAATTCAACACCAGCAAAATAAAATGGGTCAACTACTATTTCAACTGGATCTTTTCTCATATTGTCATGAGCCTTTAATAATTGTAAAAAACTTTCAAAATGTTCTTCAACATTTCTTTCTTTAAGATATGTTTGATAAAATATTGGATCCATTCTTAGTCTATTATTTCGTTTAATTACTTCATTTAACGATAACATTAATTGGTCATCAGTCATTTTAATTAAACCTGAATTTGATTGAGGAGGTTGTTTAGAACATGGAGAAAAATATGTAAATAATTTTAATTTCTTATCAAATGATATATTCGGATTTCTTAAAAAATTCCAAAACAATGGAGCCGATCGGAGATATAATTCTGACACTGTTTTACTTTCAAATATAATGTTGTAATGTCCATTAAGAATAAGGTCAATATCAGGAACTGTAGTAATAAATGCTTTTGCGGTTGTGAGTATTCTTTGAAATTCACTTGGAAGTATAACTTGAGACATATAAAATTGTAGTTACAACTTATTTTTATTTAAATTTTTTATTTTTTATTTATAAAATTAAAAAATGATCTGTTTCTTTATTTTTTCCTCTAAAAATTAAATAACGATTTTTTTTCATATATTAAAACTCCTTTCAGATAGTAATAAAACCTGTATTTAACTTAATTATTTCTTGTTTTTGTTATTTTTTTGTTTATATTTTTAGAAGAATGAATTTCATTTTTCGTTTTTCATTAATGAATAATTTAGTTTTAAATATTATTACAATAGAAAATTACCTAGGAATTGAAATATGAGATAAA